TTATATATATGGTATAAGAAAAAGTTACGCTATTTAAAATAATAAAAAATAATGCTAAATCAATGACTTTACTAACTCTTAATGGATTAATTTTCCTTTATTTGATTTAATGAAGGACTTTTCTTCTTTCTTGTTTCTTACAATATTCTCATGATTATATTCTAACTTTCAGGAACTATTTGTAAGAATGACGTGACAACGATTTATACGTTTTTTTTTGTTGTATTAATACTTCTAATGTTTTTACCAACAAATTAAAAAGAATATGAACCAGGATACTTTTGATGTTATAAAATAAGTGTTTGATACTTGTATTTATGTATGATGTCGTTCATGCTTGATTGAGCATTTGATATTTTTATGATAGATATATAAATTAATGATCATTAATTCTTTTTATTTTAAGAATTTATTTCTACTTTGTCGATTTGGAAAAATGACAGATTCTGGTGCAGATAGACATGAATTTCGTAGACGGCTTTTAAGTGATGAAGTACAGCCTTCTCCATCATATGATTTATCAAGTGGTGGGCTTGATAATAATGGCAAAACTACTATAGTTCGAAGAATTATAAGTGCGAATGAAAATTTGTTTTTTCTTTTTTGTATTCATTTTTATTTCATGACAATATGTTCTTTGGCTTTTCATATACTATAGACTGATATGGATTGGTCATATATTTATCATTAAAGTAGTGAACTATAATGGTAAATATATGACCAATCCATATTAGCCCGTAGTATATCAAAAGCCAGAGAACATATTATCATGAAATGAAGATGAATACAAAGAAGAAAAATCAAATTTTCATTCACACTTTTAATTGTTCAGACTATGACGAACTTGATCGAAATAGATATACGGTTGATAACTATGGTTTCTATGGAACTACAGCAGCTAGTGACTTGGCTGGTGGTACGGTGATTCATACACATAGTTCAGAAGAAACGAATGAATATATCCGAAGATCAACTGATGTTTATAAGGATCCTAATCCAAAAATTGTTCGACGAGCAGGAAGTGAAAGTCCAGTAACATATGAACAACGAATTGTTGTTCGATATCTTCAACCACCAACTGTTCCAGAACCAGGAGTAATGTAACAAATGTTTACAAATTCAATCTTACTAATGTTTGTATGATTTTAGCCAATCATTATTAAAGAAGTGCGTCCACCACAACCGCCACCACCTGAACCACTTGTCATACGCGAACATCCACCACGTCCTCCTTCACCACCTCCACTTATCTTCCGTGAACGACCACCAACACCACCGCCATATGTTCCCAGTGAAACAAGTTAAAAAAAAACAAATTTAAATTACATAGATTAGATTGATCACTGTATTTTCTTTTACAGCTACTCGTTATTTACCTGAAATACCTGTTCCACCACGATCAGTTATCATCGAACGTCTTCCACCTCCTCCGGAAAAACCACGTAAAAGAATTATCTTCAGTTTTCTTTTTGTTTTTTATTTATTTCAGATTGTTGTTTTTTTTCATTTAGGCGACATTATAATTGAACGATGGATTCCCTATGGACCTCAATCTGAACGTCGTACAATTGTTGAATCTGCTCCTCCCGCTACAATATATCCAGAAGCACGTAATACGATTGTTATTAATGAAGCTGTTCAAGCACATATAGTCCGAAAATTTCAGAACCTTGGTGTAACCCAAGAAAGCCCTGCCGATTATGTGGCTCGTTATGGGACATCACTTTTAGATCCAGCGACACTGGTTCACAGGGTTCATGATGCTGGTGTTCATGAAGATATAGTAAAATTTAAAAGAAAAAAAATTTCAAAAAAAATGTATAAATTTTTTATTATAGTCGCTTCCGGTACACTTCTCTTCAACACGTACAACTATACACAGAACTATTGTTGATATTGATCCGTTAAATGAACGGACTTCGTAGTCGTCCAATATTTCGTATATTTTCTATATCTCTGGAAATGATCCTATAAAATCCTCTTTTTAAGATATTTATTCTATATTTCCTATATGTCTTGAAAAAGTAAAGCTTCTTTTTAAATAAAATATATTTCAATCAGATAAAACACACATGCTTCTGTGTATATTACTATTAGCTTCCACAATAAAACGAATAGCAGCTAGTGACAGCATAATATTGATTGACAGAGGTAATAATCGATGTAGAGTTATGAGTGAGAAATTATCGAAAGTTACAGAGAATTTAATTAATATTCAAAAGCGAAGTAAAGATGCATTTGAAAACAACAACAACAACACTAAGAACAGAAGACTATAGTTGGTTCAACGATCAGTCTTGATTGAAAAAGATTTTTTCTTTTTTTTATCATTCATTTATGTATTATATATTTAGGGCACATCAAAAGTAGTGAGAGTGACACTTTAATACAGTATAGTAGGCTTTAAAAAATATTATTTTTATCTAGTCTGATAGAGAAAAGAATGCTCTATTTTCTATGCTACTCGATCGTACCTGAATTAATATAATAATAATAAACTTTCGATAAGATCTATTTCGCTAGGATATGTGCTGGTTATATTAGATCTTAATGGATAAGTAGATGACATGGCTGTGCTTTGCATTTCAATTTTCAATAACTTAATACATTATATTAAAAGAAACAGAATATACTATAAGATGTAGCGTGAAAAACTCTACAATTTGCATAAGACTGCTTATTTAATAAGTGCACTTTTTTTTCATAAAAATGGTCAAAATTCTATGCAACCAATTTTCGATATTGCAAACAAGATCAGGTACCGCTACACGATAAATTCTTTTCCTTTTCCTTCGGTTAATGAGTCATATCGAAAACAGTAATTGATGCCCGAATTCAGATGAATTGATAAGTGTTCCAATTGTGTTTCTTCATTCATTCTTATATTATTTGTTAGGAGCACAAAATAGTTACATAGTAATAAATCACAGCTATATAGTTGCTGTTAGCTAAGAAAAAGATATGAGATTCGAAGATTCTGATATTTTCTCAACGATGATTTATTTTTTATAAATACGACAATAAATTATTTGTAATATCATTATAATTTCATATGGAATATATGTCAGCATGTCAAACCATCTGTTCTTTTTTGAAAGAATCATTAATTATTGTCGAATATTATCGATGATGAATGATAAAACTGAGGCAATGAGAGATCTGAAATCCGTATCATTGAAATATGAAAATAAAATTTTTACTATTATATTATCCAGAACATTACAATAACTTAAAGCCCATGGAAAAATTTTAAAAGAAAAACCACAGTTGCCTATAGGAACACAACAGTGTCATTTTGGTAATCAAAGTATCAGATATGGCGAATATTGCTAGAATACTCATCGAATGCATTGAATCTAATTCTGAGCACGAGTGTAGATATGATTGTGATTTAAGTATCAATGAAAGGAAAATTCACATTCATACCTACAATTTTCATATTTATCTAGTACAGAAAAGAAGAAACGAACAATCGTCAAATGATAGATATTATTCTTTTTGTAAGACAACATAGACGTCGTTCTCTCACTTAAAGAAATATGACTGTTAAATGTTATCACACAACGATTCAGCGAAATCAAATATAATACAATCATTTATTAACCAGAATGGCAAGTTGTCACACTATTCAATCAGTTTAGACAGGATAATGCAAAAGAATCATATTTATACCGATAAGAGTCTTTTATTACATCCGTTTTTCTTTACCACTTTGTTTCGTTATTGTTAGACAAAGTCTTATAATTTAGCATGAGTGATTGAAAGTTTCAACTAGAATATGTCCAACCTATAAAATGATGGTATAAATACAGTCTCGAGCTGATCATTAGAAATATCAACGATTTGTAATAAACTACAAGGAGTATCTAATTATATGTTCTAGAGTGATTTATCCAAACACGGTACATCGACAGGAAAATGTGATTTCAGAGGTTAACCTGAATTTGATGTGTACTATGGTTCCTATGCATCCTGTTTTTTACAAGAATGAAATGTAAACGAGTGCGTAAAGACGAAGGGGATGTCCTACGCTGCTTTACGCATGATATTTTATCAACAAATTTTCATGTCATTATATATTCGATAAGTGGCATGCACGAGTAAATTAGAATTGCAGATCAGTTTCACTGAGTAAAGATTTTATAAGGACACTTGAGAAAATGTAGTGTATTCAACGGTGATTCATGGTTTGTTCTCAAGGATGCTTCAAGCGGTACCAATTGTATAGTTTTCAAAAATACTTATAATCGGATCTCGATGGAACCTTTATTTTCATTGGCGTGTAAAAACCGTCGGTATTTGAAATCTGTATATAATCACGTTCTTAAAACACAGCAGTTTCGACTGTCATTTTTCAGCTGCTAAAGTCAGACTATTTGTTTTATTTTGGAAGCCACCTAATACCATGTTCTGCAAATAACGCGGTTTCGGACGATTTTTAAACACTGAATAAATTGCCTGACTTTTGTCGTGTAAATTCATCGGCGAAAACTTTTTTCATGGCAGTTAATATGTATCTGAGCTGTGAATTGCCGATTAGTAGTTACTTCTATCTGTAAGATCGATTTTCTGCTTTTCTCATTGCCTTTTTTTTTGTACTTTTCCTCGATATCTCATTATTTTTGTCTTTTATTTTAGTTTTGCAATCAATAACTACTCACGTTTTGTTTTCACAATTTTAATTATTTGAAGATTTTCAGCGACTTAATTCGTTTTTTGAATAAGAAAATGACTACCTATACTTATTTATTTGAAGATGTATTTTATTTAGTATTTATCGAAGATTCGCACAATACAGCAATAATATATTAGTATATCTTGATCTTACACATCTATTTTTATCAAATAAGGATTAAAATGAAACTTATCGTTTTCTCTTTCTCTATGATAATTGAAAAAGAGATATGTGCTACCTATAAAAATATATAGGTAGCACAAAAAAGCAAAAGTGTATCATATTTTAATTCATTTTTTTCATTTTTCTTTTATTGTAGATAAAAATGATATTGACCTTAATAACGATCATTTTCGGTTGTTCATTAAGTTTCTTATCTTTTCAAGTTCAAGCAAATACATGCAATACTTACAATCATCCACAATATGGTACTGGTCAATGTATTGATCGAAATCTATGTCCAAATTCATTATATCTATCTGGTTTATGTGAATTACAACCATCTAATATTGTATGTTGTTTTTCAGTAGAACCAATGAAAGAAGAATTTCGAGCTATATGGATAGCTACAGTAACTAATATTGATTGGCCATCATCGAAAGCAGCTACACCTGCTGAACAACAATCTGAATTACTTAATATTCTAAATAAAGTTGAAGAATTAAATATGAATGCTGTCATTTTTCAAGTATTAACAAAAAACAATGTTTTTTTCTTTCTTATCATATATATTAAGATGATTTGTAACTTTAGATTCGTCCTGCTAGTGATGCTTTTTATTCATCATCATTAGAACCATGGAGTTTCTATTTAACTGGCACACAAGGTGTTGCACCATCACCATTTTGGGATCCATTAGCATTCATTATCAATGAAGCACATAAACGAAATATTGAAGTACATGCATGGCTTAATCCATATCGTGCTCGTACGGGTGGTGCAACCTATGAATTAGCACCTACTAATATGGCTAAAAGATTTCCAGAATATGCTTATCCATATGCAAATAATATATGGATGGATCCTGGCGCAGCTGTAGTTCAACAATTCACAGTCAACGTTACTGCAGATATTGTTAGTCGTTATGCTGTTGATGGAATACATATCGATGATTATTTCTATCCATATAGTGATGGTACTGAATTTCCTGATGCTGCTACCTATGCTACTTATCAAGCACAAGGTGGCAAATTAAATAAAGCAGATTGGCGTCGTTTAAATGTCAATAATTTAATTCATTCGATGTATACAACAATGCATGCTATTCGACCAAAAGTTAAATTTGGTGTTTCACCATTTGGAATATGGAAAAGTGGTACACCAGCTGGTATAACGGGTTTATCATCATATGATAGTTTATATGCTGATAGTCGAATGTGGTTAGAACAAGGTTTAGTTGATTATATGGCACCACAACTTTATTGGGCAATTGATCCACCAGCACAATCTTATCCTGTTTTACTTAAGTGGTGGATAGAACAATCAACTAAAGGTCGTCATGTTTATGCTGGTAATGCTGCATATAAAATGGCTCAAGGTGCTGTTCAATGGCAAGCAAATGAAATAGTTCGACAAGTAAATATAACTCGATCAATGCGTGATCGACTTGCACTTGGTAATATTTATTTTTCAACGAAAGAGATCATGAGAAATGTTAAAGGCATTCAAGAAGAACTTGCAAAACTTTACAAACAAAAAGCTATCATACCTAAAATGAATTGGCTTTAATATATTAAACTTTTATTTAACAGATTATAAATAATTAAATCAAAGGGTTTTAGTGCTATATCTAATTAAACTTGCTACAAATAAAACTTTCATAATGTTACAATGTTTCATTAGCAGCTTGAATAGTCGAATCTTGCATGGATTTTAGAAGTTTAAATAATACCAAAAACTATATAAATATTTGTTTTTCAGATCATAAAAAAAAGAAATTAATTCTCACTTCTTTGTTTTTCTATTGATAAAACAAATGTATTAAATATCAATATTACGTATATCAACATGCATATAAAATAAAAGAAAAAAAAATACTTTTTTGTTGACATGACAAACTTTACTCATGACGATCATATTAACATTCAACGATACTTATTTAATAACCAAAATACATAGAATTATCAAAAGTGTGTCTTAATATTTATTTAAACGAATCAACAATATCACAAAAAATACAACAACGAATAATTACTCTTATTCGATCTCGTACGCCATCTACATTTTATTATTCTAATGGCAACCTCTATCTTCGTAATGCAAATATAAATAGACTAAAAACAACAAGCAATTTATCTATCTAATTTCTGTTATCAGAAAACGAGAAAGACATAAAGTAAAGTAATTATTTTTCTATCCTAATTTGTTTTGTTTCATAATAAATAATTACAAAAAAGTTTAAGAAGAAATTTTAATAAAATATCATGACATATAGGTTTCAGTTCATGAGGTGTTATTTTTTTTCTCTTCCTTTTTACGGTAGATTAATTAAATATTTTTTTATTTTGCACTTAATTATTTTATTAGCATTAAATATGCAACAATGGTGCGTTCAATAGATTCTCAATCAAGACAACGTGAGTATAAATATGAATATATGAATCCAAAAAAAAAAAAGCAAAATATTTTCTTCTCTTAACTAATCTAAAAACAAAACCTACGAAATACAAGTTGAATTTCCCTTAGGTCTCTTGAATGTTGCATGTCAACTAGAAATGAAATTGTATTCTACTATTATTACCCTTTACTTAGAAATACAGCAGTAAATCATCAATAACATTCAATATTTTACGTCTATACTATTTTTATTAGGATCTTTTTATTTTATTTGTTGACTTCTCAAGCATATTCAAGTAGTTTTTTTTCTGTTCTTCACTCTACGCACGAGTTGTAACTATTTCTTTTTCAACACAAAAAATACAATCATTTATTCTTTTAACTATGATCCTCTTTATGATAAAAGAAAAAAGAAAGTAACGCTGTATTATTATCATTTTTTTTTTACTCTTTTTTAAGATTTGTTTTTATGCTATGTAGCACATATGAGATGGACCCAGCGATACGGTGTTATGGCGGTAGCCATTATTGTTATACTTGCATTTATTTTCGTTTTACATCAAAAACGTAAGTTTTAGTATACGAAAAAAAAAATTGAAGAAAAAAAAAACGTTTTTTTTTTCATCATAGAATTGTATGAAGAACAGACACGACAAACAATTGAATCATTACAAAATCGTATTGATTATGTTTCACGTCTTAATGATGAACATTTACAAGAATTATCAGTTATAAAACAACAAAATATTCGTTTAACTCGTTCAGTTAATTCAATTAAATCTTGTCATCGTCGTTTTGGTACAAATAATAATATTAATAATAATAATAATAATAATAGTAATAGTAATAGTTTATCAATAATAAATTTCAATAGTACAACTGGTGACGAAACATTAAATGATAATATAATTGATTCAATTAAAAATGTTTTTCATTTACCACCTAGTTTTAATTATTTAAAACATCTTAATAATAAACATGATATGTTATCACCATCATTTCATCGTCAAACAACAAATGGAAAATATTTACGCCAAAATATATCATTTATTATTGGTATACCAACAGTTAAACGTGATAAACAATCATATCTTATTGAAACAATTAAATCATTAATTGATAATTTAAATAATGATGATATTGAACATTTATTAATTGTTATATTTATTGCTGAACCATTCGATATTGAATATGTACGTACAACAGCTCATCAAATAGAAAAACTTTATAATAAATATATTGAAAATGGTTTAATTGAAATAATAAGTCCACCAATTGAATTTTATCCTGATTTTGATCAATTAGCATTAAGTTTAAACGATAATAAAGAACGAGTTAAATGGCGTACAAAACAAAATTATGATTTTACTTATTTAATGATGTATTCATCAATAAGAGGAAAATATTATATACAATTAGAAGATGATGTTGTTACAAAACCTGATTATATTCATATTATTGAAAATTTTATTAATCTACAAAAAACACAAAATTGGTTTATGCTGGAATATTCAAGTTTAGGTAATTATAATTAAAGAATTTTTTTTTTCAAAAAAAAAAAAATTCTAATTATTGTTCATTCTACTGATGTCTAAATAGAAAATAGTTTATTTGAGTTTATATTTATCTTATCTTGAATTTTTTTATTAAAAATGTACTTTAAGGTATTCGAATGTTATTATTAAAAGATCAGCCACCATAGCTAAAGGACTACGTTATCCAGTGCAAATCTCAGCACTACCAGTCATAAAATGATCCTCAGCAAGTCACTAACGACTATTTGTATCGAATTTATCCGTTCAATCGTATGCTGATTGTATTTTCACATACACTTGCTCTTGTGAATAGTTAGTGTGTATAGGAAGCATAAGAACTCTGTGTCAGGCCAACTTTCCGTTCAGATCTACAGTTAGTCATAGTTGTGAAGAAGATATCAGCCTATTGAATTTGCTTCTCGACAGCATTGTATCCTGTAAGGTAATTCAAACGCAGATGGTATTCTTCCTAAAATGTCTAGCTTTAATAGTTAATAATAGAATTAAAACAATATTAAAAACAAATCTCGTTGAAGTCTGAATTAAATCCATGTAAACAAATAGTATCTATGTAGTCATTGAAAACTGATCGACTTATTTTTCTGATGTATGTAAGACTCTAGTTAATAAATTTTTAAAGTCTTATCTAAATTTCGAATTGTATGAACAGTTAAATATGAATTAATATCTTTTATATTTTCTAAGGTTTTATTGGTAAAATGTTTCATACTAGTGATCTTGATGCACTAGTGAATTTCTTTCTAATGTTCTCTGCTGATAAGCCAATTGATTGGTTACTTGAATAGTAAGTAATAATAATAAAAGTATTCTGACATTTATTATATATATATATATACATATTCTATAAATATTTAGTTATCAAGATACAAAATATTGTTCATTTGGTGCTGATATTCAATCATGTGTACGAACAAAAGGTTTACATCGTTTTCGTTTTCGTCCATCATTATTTCAACATATTGGAATGTATTCATCATTAAAAGGCAAAATACAAAAATTAAAAGATAAAGATTTTGGTAAAAATATTAAATTATTTAAAGCTCATGAAAATCCACATGTATCATCAATTGTATCAACATTAAAAGATTATGATAAACATACATTAATGAGTTGTTATGCAGGACAAAATTTTTTTTGGGCATTACAACCTAAAAAAGGTGATACTATTGAATTTAAATATGATCCACCACTTTTATTATCGAGGTAATCACGAAACAAAGCCAAAAAAAAAACACCAAACAAATATTTTTTTGGTTTTATTTATATTTTTTTATAGAGTTTATTTTAAATCGGGTAATCCAGAACATCCAGGAGATAAATTTTTTAACACAACTATTGATTTATTACCATATGTACAACCAAAAGAAGAAATTAATTCTATTAAAGATCATGATGGTTTTTATACAGTAGCGAATTTTTCACATGAAACTGGTATTGGTGAAGCTTTTATTAATAAAGCATTTGGGCCTATATCAAATGTGCGTTTAAAAGTGCATTCAAAATCAGAAGCATGGGTTATATTGAATGAGGTAATATATAAGATTTCATTTGTAGCTTTTTATCTAGATTTGCTCTTCCGAAGGGCTAATGTATTTTTTGGAGAAGCGTCACCTCCTCAGCTTTCACACTAGAAAAAAACACAGTCTCCGAAGATCGAAATTTGTGGTTATGGTACCATGCAGATCTTGTCCCTCCGGAAATATTAAATCGTCTCTATAGAAGAAAAAATCCGAATACAATACTGTTCGTTTGATACAAATATTGCTTAGGAAAATGTCAGAACTTATTTATCTTATGTCAAGCGTAATAAATCATTTTATGAGTGTATGCAATTGAATACCTTATTGAGACTGTGTATAAATAATAAAATTGATAAAATGTATTCTTTGCATGTCATAAAATGATTATTGAGATCGTGAGGAAAAAAAGGCGATATTGCGCACTAGATAAGTAAAGCATTGTTTTGAAATGTATCAAAATTAAAATTTAATTTAAAGACATAAGTAATAAATCGAATAATATAAATTAGATCAAATCTATTAAACAAAATATTATATTTAGAATGATTACAAAAACATAATTTTAATTAAGTAACATTGAAGTAATTTTATTTGAATTAATTTTTTAATCGTTAAAATGATTTTATTATACTTTGAAATAAAAATTAAGGCTTTGTCGAATATAAAACATAGAGTTTATGATTAGAACAAAAACTTACGTAGATATATATATATGAGTAAATGCTTACATAAATAAAAATTGAATAGGAAGATATAAAATGTCGATTTGCCGCATGAGCAAATGTTATTGTTATTTTAGAATTCTTTTTTTTTTTAAATTTTATGTTTGATAAATTTCTATAATAGTTCAGTAACATGATAACATGACCATTGATATTATTCAATATAATATGCTTAACGAGGGAGAATGTAGTTAATGAAGCATGAGATGATTTATTAATATGTGTTATTCGAGAATATATGAAAAATACTAAGACAATGTAATAATATTTTATCTCTTTATATTAAATTTTTACTTGTATTTTAATCGTAAACTCTCTATAAAACATACGATTTTTTCGTTGATAGAAAGATCGAAAAAAAAACCGAATGTTTAACACCAATGAAAAGACAATATACTCGACATTCATTTATCTTTGTTCTAATACTAAATCAAAACTATTATATAGGAAATAGGATATTTTAATTTAGAATGATAAGGTTCAATTTTTACTTTCATAGTAAAAATATGACATCCAACAATTAGTAAAAGCAAGATTGTCGTTAAGTTCTAACTTAGAATTATTTATTTAATAGTAGAAACATTTTATTTAATTAAATATTTTATCCTTATATTATAGATACTTATTGAACCGGTCACATAAGAATAAATTACAAACATCTATGTCAATCATCTGTTAACCACATGGAGTTCACATGTACATATGATAAGAAATAAATACTCATCTTAATGAATATGCAATAGAATCCACAGTTGTTTTGTTTATTCGGTGTATTTCTGATAAATTCATGTGTACTCTATATTTATAATTCCTTTTCTCTAGTCATATATATCTGTCTAATCCTTCAAATATGATTGTTCACAAATTTATTGTTGTTATTTCAGTCTCGTTATTTTTCCTTGAATTAAGAACGAGTTAATCGTCTATTTAACCAAAAGTTGTTTTATGATTTTTCTTTTCTTTTCCTGTTAGCTTGTTTTTTTCTATTTTAATGTTCATACATCTATACATGGAATCAGAAATGAGATATATATATATATATTGTTTAAATATATATATAGAGGCATATTTACTGTTTGTTTGCTTGTTTTTCTTGCCAGTGGTTTTGATTAACTTTATTTCTTTTATGTTCTTTCAAGAAAACAAAAAAAAAAAAACTAAAGCAGCTATCAATTAATATTCTTCTTCTATATCGTTTGTTGAAATAGATTAATATATTCAGAATGGATATGCTTTTGAATAATCAAACTACCAATTATAGTGATGATCCTAATCGTTTATGGGTCGAGATTGATCGAGGTTTGTTTGAGTATATATATATATATTCGAATTGGTATATTCTTTTTCTTTTTTGTTTTACTATGTTTCCTCGTTCAGGTATTCGTTCTAAAGAAGCTCAACGACAATTTGAGGCTATACTCAAAATGCCTGGTCTATTCAAAAAAGAAACAACATCAACAACACTTATTTCAGCAGCTCTTATGAAATTGGCAACACTTTTTCAAGAAGGGTACATTTTATATGAAAATAAATATCTAACAAAGCAAACTGCCATGACCGACGAGAAAATCTCTTCAGCTGTCTCCTTCCAGTTTCAATCATTTTTTCGACATAGTATTCTGATAAAAATTCTAAGAGGATTTTAGTTCCTATTAAGATTTGACTAAGCTATCGAATTTTAGTCTGAAACTTTGTGCATATAGAGAATTCGGCTTGACTAGCTTTCATAAAAAAGTTCAAAACTTTTGAATTTTTTTATGGAAGTTAGTCTAGTCAAATCTGAACAGTAGCCAGTCATTGAAATCAGAAGAAAGCAGCTGAAGTGATTTCCTCGCAAGTGGCTATGCTATTCGACCCATATCCACAAGATATACTGTTAAAACTGCAGTACCATTAGTCATGAAATGGCTCTGGATGAGTCTCTAACTGTTATCTATCTCTGATTCATCCATCTGATAGCATGCTAATTACATTGTAACAGATTGACCTTCTGTTTAGAGCTACAGCTAATCATAGTTGTAAGGAAAGTATCTGACTATTGAATCTGCAGCTACACAGGAGTATTCTGCTTTTCAACAAAGCAATATTTCTTAAGTGAATCAAATAAAAATAGCTTTAGCATTATAAGAATCTCATATAGAAACCAATACTAAATAAAGATTAAATTTTATATGTTATTTAGAACAAATGAAATGCGTTTAAATGTTACAAAAGTACTTGATCGAGTGGCAAATCAATTACAAAAATCTTCTATGCTTGACGATCCTATTAAACTTATTTATTCCGTTATGCATAGTAATGATTGTATTGCTCGTGCATTAACATTAAGGTTTGTTTTCTTTTTCTTTTTTTGATCTTTTATTTACGTTTTATATGTTATGTTCAGAGCTCTTGCTATTATGGCACATATATTAGCTGATGATGTCGAAGCACATTTACATATTCGTCTTGCATTAGATTCTAATGATGAAATTGAAATTTTAGCTGCAGTAAAAGCTGCAAAAAAATTTATTCCTTGTTCAAAGTATATTGAAAAACAATACAAGTTTTTAAAAATATATATTAATTATTTTTCTTTTATCTAGAACATTTGCTATATCAATTAGTACAAAACTTGTTTCATTAATTGAAGATTTAACTACACCATTAACTATTAAATCTTGGCTTATTCCACTTTTTGAACATATGACACATGATGCAACTGTTTCTATGAAAGTATATTTTGAGATAAAAATAAAAGATTTTTTCTTTAGTTTGATTATTATTAGGGTCGTCAATTATTAATATCATTAATGACAAATGATACGACTGAAGAATTTCTTCAAATAGCTGTTCCAACATTAGCTCGATTAGCTGTTAAAAGTCATATTGAAATTGGTGAAACAGTTAGTTTTTCTTTTTGTCTTATCGAATTAGTTAATTTCAACTGTATCATAGGTAAAATTTTTTCTTAAATTTCTTAAACTTGAACCACGTCAAAATTGTCGTAAACTCATACTTCGTAATCTTGTTCCTATTGCTCGATGTGGTCCAATTGTCTGGCTTGATTCTACAACAGAAGTACGAATACAAATATCTTCTTATGATAGTATATATATATATATTTTTTTTTTTCTTTTGTTTTATAGGATCTCATTGCATTTGCAAATAATAGTGATGATGATTATGTACGATTACAAGTTTTATGTATTATTGAAGCACTTATCAATGGTGGTGGTTATATTTCTTCAACATCTACGTCAAGTAGAAAATCGAAAAGAGAATTTTTCTCTTTTTTTTATTATACTTGAAGTTGTTTTTTTTTTCTTTATGAAACAGATTTAAAAAAACTTCTTCAAATGTTTACTATACATAATAATATTCAAGTTGCTTATCAATGTTGTTCAACAACACTTCGAATAATTCTTAAATATCGTAATATATCAAATATATCTTCAGTTGGTTTGTATTTGTTTTTCTTTTTATTTCAATTAACCTATATAATACAAAAGTCTTGATGCAAAATTTTCGCTTATTTCGATTTTTTTTTTCTAGAATAAGATTAACACTTAGTTTGTGTCTTGAAATAGTTTTAACTTACTATTATACTGAATTCGATACAAAATGAGATATTACAATAAGTGAAATCTCATTTATACGTTTCTACTAAAGTTAACTCTAACCAGTTACGTTTAAGGAGTCTATGACAATGGATGGAAAAACTGTTATTAATAGTGCTGAAAAATAAAATCGATAAAAAAAATTTATTAGCATTATGGAAAAATAACTCAGAGAAAGGTATAGAAAATAACTAATAACCTCTACCAGGACAAGAAACATGAGATATGAACATAAATAGGAAAGTTTAGTGGATTCTTCTAATTGTACATGAAGTCTTACACATGAATAAATAGTAGTCACTTCAAAAAGTTTCCCATAATCCTCTATAATTTTTCCTCATTTTGAAGCTTCTGCCTGCTACAAGTTTCACTATTCGACAATGAATATAGTTTTCGTGAATGTCAACATTTAATTACGGTTTACCAACGAGATTATCTCATTTTACAGGATAAATCTTTATTTTTCATATGTCACCCTTGTCTTCGTGTGGTGCTCTATGGGATTGAATCACATATCTGCAAATTGAGGTTTGTGGAAAATAAAATAGGAACCATACCTTCTATCAAACATGCGGCCAATTGTTGCTTTACCCTGTTTAGGTGGTCGAAAAACTTTCTTGTCATAGATTGTCTTTATTAAATGAATGTTCATTTTAGAGTCACAAAATAATGAATTATTTTCATCTGAAAATGTTCTTGATGATTTAATTGAACATCTTAATACAGCTTTAGCTGTACTTCTTACTGAAGTTATTCAATCAAATAATCTTAAAGAATTACAAGTCTGTTTAAGATATAAATAATTTTTGCATAATTTATAAAAATCCATTTTTTTTAAAGGATACTTTAAGTTTAATTGAACAATTATCAAGAGTGTATAATAATAGTGCACAAAATTTTATACATCTACTTTTTACAACATGTGCTAATGTTGAAAGTAAGAAAAGCAAAAAAAGACCAATCTTAAGAAACAAAATATTTATTTCTTAGATTCGGAGTTATTAGCATATTTAACAAAATCACTTGTTCGCTTATCAACAAATCATAAAGAAATAATTACTAGTGAAACAATACAATTACGTAATTTATTAGCGAATACTTCATTAAATGATGATGTTCGAGTAAGAAATTATTCTTTTGATAAATTTAAAACTTAACGTTCTATTTTCTTTTTCTTTTTCTTTTATTTTTTAAGTATAATCTACTTGCTTTATTTGTTCTATCAAATCCAAATGATATCAATGAAATTCATAAACATGTGGAACAACTTTCATCATGGAAATGTTTTTTACTTGCTCGTTGGTGTATAAGACATTGTTTATATAAATTAGCTATTGATCTATTACAAATATTAATTAATTATATTCATATATCCATACATGAAATTTGGCTTCGTACATTAATTGATATATGTCATGCAGAAGAACGATTACAAACAGCAATGAATTCTTCAGAAAATGATTTACAAATATTATGTGATAATCTTGCTGAAGCTGGATCATTTTATGAATCAAGTTTAATACAAATGCCTGTAAGAATATTATTAATTTAATTTAGAAAAATTTTAAGAATAATAATAATAATTATTATTTTTAGACAAGATTATCAATTGATGATAATGAACGTTCAATTGATGCAACATTTGATTTTGAACGTGCTTATTGTGATATACGTTCATCGATAATTCATCAATTTTATGAATTAATTCATACAATATATCAATATGATTTAGGAATGATTAGTTTTGATTTACTCGGAAAACGAATGGTTAGTTTAAAATTTCTTAAGTTTATTTTCTCAAAACAAAAGAAAAAAATAAGAATGATGTTTTTTATTTTCTTGCAAACTAATTTCAAATTGAAGCTAGTGAGCAGAGTCCTACATTAAGTTGGATGAATAAACTCGACAAGTTGCCTTTTGCGCAGGATTATATGAATAATTCTTCTATATTATTAGTTCACAAAGAAAATCCTTCAATCGATAAATCGATTTTGAATCGAGAGACTATGTGCATTATGTAGATTCAAATGAGTTGTGAATACC